GGCTGGAGGTTTTTCAGCAGCTCCACCTCCTCTTGCTCAGTCCCGTTCTCTGCTGTTGCCACTGGTCCTCATGGTCACCTGGAGGGAAAACTGAGGTCTCTTGAAGCTGTTGGTCCTGCTCTGGCCCATGGCAACGTGAGGACCAAGAGGGGGACAGCAGCAGCAAAGCTGTGGTGCTGCCAACTGGTGGCAGGGCCTTGCCAAGGGGGCGGTTCTCTGGGCAGCTCACCTGGGCCTGGGACTGCAGGGGCCACAGGGAAAGCAGTGCACAGGCACCAGGGAGGAGGCCATAGTTTCCTTGGTAGAAGTTATTGGGAGATTGAAACCACACAAGTCCTTGGAGGCAGAATTCCTCCCTCTCCCCCACCACCTCGCAAAAATAAAAGCCCTGCGCCCTCTCCTTTCCAGTCTCCATCCAAGCAGGTCTGACTTGCTGAGTGATCTTTCTTGTGCTTCTCAGGGGTTTCAATCAGGAGCATAATAACCATCCCACGTCCCCTTGGTGTGTGTGTGTCATGAACATCTGTACCAGCTGCTGTGCCTCTGATTCTGCATGGTGTCCACTCCTCTGGGTGCTGTGAGCATGAGGACAAGACCAGGACTGTCACCCTGTGGGTCCTTCTTCTGCAGCTTTGGGTTCACACATATGTGGGGCCCACGGTCCAGCATTCAGGGGAGCTGCACTGTTGAGTCATTAGAGCCTCTTATTAGATTCAGGTGACGTGGGTCAGCAGATTTGATGATAAAACTCATTATGGCACAAGTGTGTATGAAAGGGACTCTCTGCCTTTTGTTCACAGGAGAAAGTTGTCTCTCTTTACAACAGAATTTCTAACTCAGAGACTCAGACGTCAGCGAAGAATCAGGATCCAGAGGTTCCTTAAAGGAAACTGTGACATGAAGAGGAAACCACACAGGAATCATCCCAAACCTCCAACTGCACCTGCTGCTGGGATGGTCCTTGTGTTCAGGGACCCTGAGTGCCTTCTGGTGGTCAGAGACCTTCCTGCAGGGAGGTTTTTGTCTGGGCTCACACTGACTTTCCTTCACTGTGTCTAGTACAGTAATACACAGCGGAGTCCTCAGTGGTCACAGAGCTCAGCTGCAGGGAGAACTGGTTCTTGGACGTGTCTCTGGAGATGGAGGTTCGGCTCTTGAGGGAGGGGCTGTAGTAAGCGTTTCCTTCATAGCGTATGTACCCGATCCACTCCAGCCCTTTCCCCGGGGGCTGGCGAAACCAGCTCCAATAGTAATAAGTGGTTGTGATGGAGAATTCTGAGACAGTGCAGGTGAGGGAGAGGGTCTGCGAGGGCTTCACCAGTCCTGGGCCCGACTCCTGCAGCTGCACCTGGGACTGGACACCTGGGACAGAGAGAACACAGTGAGTCCTGGGCTCAGATGCAAGGTCCCCATCTCCTCAGGTCTAAGCCCTGAGTCACTCACATCTGGGAGCTGACAGCAGGAAGAGGAAGAGCCACATGGGAGTCATGTCTTGCAGGTGAGGTCCTGGTCCCCCAGAAAGTATTCTCCAGGGTGAGGAGGCCCTGCATTTAAGTGGATGTCAAGTGTGTGTGTGTGGTGGCCGTGTGGGCATTTGCATATGGGAGGTGTCTGCACATACAAGGGGCAAGAGGTGAGGGAGGTCCTGGTCTCTGGGTCTTCTCCTGGAAGGAGGTGCTGACTGTGCCCTCAGAGAACCAGGCCCTCCTTGGGGTCCTGGTCACCGTGCCCAGGAACCTCTCCTTCCACACCAGGGGCTATGCTGCAGGAGGTGGTCAGGAAATAGGATGTGGGAACAATCAGTGACTCCTTAGGGTTAAAATTATTGTGCCTTGCTCCCAGGCGTATAAATAGATATAGATATAGATATAGATATAGATATAGATATAGATATAGATATAGATATAGATATAGATATAGATATAGATATAGATACAGATATAGATATATATTATAGATATATATATAGTTATAGGTGTATATATACACATATTTACAGATAGACATGTTGTGGACCAACATTCCCGTGAATAAGACCATCGAGTCCAATTAGGTCTTAAACTACAAGGGAGGATTTATTGAGCTGGCCAGCGTCCGCCACAGGCCCCTCCTGTAACAGCCCCGAGCTTGGTGCTCGGCGAGCTTTTATTCCCAGAAACCACAAACGTCCTTGATTTGCAGTCACAAGGGTCTAATCAGGACCTTGATGCGCCGATGTCTGCGAGTGGGAAACTTGGAGTTGTGCCTGGTTACCTATCCTTGACCCTATCCTTGTTAAAAGTTTTTATTGATATTCAATTCATCATAGGCATAGATACAGATCTTTTAAAAATATGTAACTTTCATGATATTTAGAGAGAGAGGATGAGAGAGATATAGAGAGAAACATCCATGAGAGAGAATCATGGATTGGCTGCCTCCTGCATGGCCCCCACTGGGGATGGAGACTACAACCCCATATTGTGCCCTCACCAGGAATCTAACCAGTGACTTCTTGGGTCCTGGGTTGAAGCGCAACCTGTGAGCCACAGGAGCCAGGCTGGATCTTCTTTTCCTTGTCCTCACCTGAGGATGTGTTCATTGATTTTTAGAGGGAAAGGAAAGGAGAGAGAGACAAAGACAGAGAGAAACATTGATGTGAGAGTGAAACATTGATCAGAGAAAGATGGGGAGAGAAGGGAAACATTGACGGGAGAGAGAAATAGTTATCAGTTGCCTCCCATAACTGGTGGGACTGAGAATCAAACCCATAGTCTTTTCATTTAATTATTTTATCGATTTCAGAGAGGAAGGGAGAAGGAGGAAGAGATAGGAACATCAATGATGAGAGTGAATCATTGATCTATTGTGTCCTTCATGGTCACTATTGAAAATGGATCCCACAATTCAGGTATGTGCCCTGACTAGATATGTGTTAATTAGACCTGACATCTTCTGGACATTCTTTCTGGACTTCCTTCCGGACAAAGCCATAGTGGCAGGGGCCAAGGCAGAGGAGGTTAGGGGTGATCAGGTCGGCAGGGGAGGGCATTTAGGGGTGACCAGGCCATCAGCGAAGGGCAGTTAGTGGGAGATCAGTCCAGCAGGCAGAGGCAATTAGGAGTGATCAGGCACGCAGGAAGGTGAGTGGTTAAGAGCCAAGAGTCCTGGATTGTGAGAGGGATGTCCTCCAAGGGGTCCCAGATCGGAGAGGGTGCAGGCGGGGCTGATGGACACCCACACCCTCCTCCACTTCTCCATGCACGAATTTTGTGCACCTGGCCTCTAGTTTAATTATAAAAAGTTTTGATGTAAAATACTGATATGAAGGAACAGATATAGAAAAATCATTTTTATATGAAAAGTATTGTTTTTCTCTGTCCATTATTACAGAATGAATAAATCACCCAGATAACCACCTGTTACTGGAGCTGATTTATCTAATGTCATAGAAACCTGGTCAGCCTTGGTGGCTCCACCTTGTTTTCACCATCAGGGTCTGTGTCCATGTGGACACGTGACTTGGTTCTAACCAGAGAACAGGAGGGCATGTTGGGCTTTCCTGCTCCATCAGCATCTCATTTCAGAGGCACCATGTCTTCCCTCTCCAGTGCCTACTCAGGTCTGCATGTGGCCCTTGGCAGTGCCCTCACCGTGTCTGTTCTAGATGGGCAACCCGAGGACCTGAAGCCCATTCATGGGATGGACCATGTTCAACACTGGAAGAGGCATCGTGAGCCTGGAGGGGAATTACCATGGACGGGAATTCACCACGTCTGAGCAGGCACACCTACAGGATAGTCCCTTCATTGTGCTGTGATTTCCTCATTGTCCACCAGTTCCATTTGCCTCTCTCTTTCCTGAAACAGCCACACATAATCTCTGGAGTCCTTCAGGAAATAAAGCATTGGCCTGAAGATTAACCCAAGTCCCAGGTTCCAGGTGAGGTCCAAACGACTGTGTCATGCGTCCCAGAGAGACAGGTGTCATGGCTGAATCCCAAACAGATTACCATGTGCTCACACACATGCACACTCACAATCTCACACACACAACTCCCAGTTCCCAGGAAGGAAACCCATCCCCAGGTTCCTGAGGGGCCCTGGAGGCCCTGACTCACATGGGACTGTGATGGCTGGACCTTGACCTCAGGAATATCTGGGTTCTCATTGCTGGGGCCTGTGGGTGTCCTTATATGACAGGACTTTGCAGATGGTTAAGGTGGGGACGAGGGAGCTAAGGGTGCTGACGTGGGGGTTACCCTGAGCCATCTGCTGGGACATACCTGTAGCCACAAGGGTCCCCTTCAGAGGAAACAAAGCCAATCAGACCAAAGGTTTTGTGATCAGTGAAGACAGATGTGGGGAGTGGGTTTGCACATCTACCTGAGTGAATGAGGACCAGGGGGGAAGCGTGTGGTAGGGAGGACAGAGAGCTGTGGTGGATGGTCCTGGGGGATGATTCTCATTGTGGTGGTCAAGAAGGGCCTGTCAGAGGCACACGTGGGGACAGAGGCCTAAGGTCAGCACACAGGGGCCTGGGCTGCCCTGGGATCCAACTTGGTGGAAACATTTCACAAACATAGGACGTTGAGAGCACTGAGGATGGTCTCCTTGTGGAGAAAGAGAAATAGAAAACACAGAGACTTGGTGAAGGAGAGTCCCCACTCCCTGCCACCATGTCACCTACAAACACATGTCCCTTCTTCACTGTTGTCTGCGGGGAGAACATGAGAAGGAAGAGCCATCCCTGGAGGCAGCTGAGAGCTTGAGAGGAAATCCCTGTGCCCAACAGGAAGGCCCTTCCCTCCCCACCTCCCTCTGCCCCTGCTCCTGGGGCTGCTCTCTGTGCTGTGTGTCCTGAACGCCCACTGGTGTACTGGACGCTCCCTGCAGCCCAGCCCTGCTGTCTCCTCAGGGAGGTTAGTGTCTGGGCTCACACTGACTTCCTCTCACTGTGTCTCTTGCACAGTAATACATGGCAGTGTCTTCGGCTCTCAGGCTGCTCATTTGCAGATACAGCTAGTTCTTGGCATTTTCTCTGGAGATGGTGAAGCGGCCCTTCACAGAGTTGGCGTAGTATGTGCTACTACCACTGGTAATGTATGCAACCCACTCCAGCCCCTTCCCTGGAGCCTGGTGGACCCAGTTCATGTCGTAGCTACTGAAAGGTGAATCCAGAGGCTGCACAGGAGAGTCTCAGAGACCCCCCCAGGCTGCACCAGGCCTCCCCCAGACTCCACCAGCTGCACCTCACACTGGACACCTGCAAACACAGAGACACAAGGTAGACTGAGAATCACATGGAAGCACCAACAGGCACAGGCACAGGTCTCAGCGCTCCCCACTCCTGAGAACGACCTTGAGAAATGATCAGGAGGAAAACGCAGCTTGGCACCAAGTCCATGGTGGAGCCGCTGGGGTCCTGTCTCAGGTGCTTGGGTTCTGGGTGTCTCCCCAACATGCCGGGCAAGGGCCCCCTTTTATGAGCAGGAGGAGAGCCCCATTTGCATGGAGTCTGCATATAAGGTGCATCTGGGACCCTGGGCTGCATGCCTGACCTTGTCATCCTAGGGGCGACTCCAGATGGGAAAGAACTCAAGGACGCTGGCCAGAAGGGCTTCCATCCTGACTTCCCTCCCTCCCTCTTTTCCTGAGACCTGTCACCCTGAGCCCATTCTTTGGGGTCAGCTTCCAGGATTGAGAGTCCTCCTTCCTTGGGGGTTTGATGAGGACATAGGGGTGCTCCCCCAGAGGCACGTGGATGGGGCTTCCTCTCTCTCTCCATCACCCCTCATGGGCCATGTTGCCTTTCTGGGGTTTGGGAATAAGAATTTGCATTGGATGATGCTTTTATTTTGAGACTAAAAGATTCTCCTTGGTGTTGTCCCCAAGCAAATCTTACATACACTAATATGCAATTGGATAATGCATGGTCCCATCTGTCTGTTACTACTTGAGCCAATTGAGCAGAGACAGGGGTGAGTCATATATAGGCATTCATTCCAATACTGCAGCAATATGGGGAAACAGCCGGTCACCCACAAAAACCTGCTCTGCAGCCCCCATAAACCAGCTGCTCATAATGAGTGAAAGGGTAGAAGATTAGTGGGAAGTAGCCAAAGGCTCTGCCAAAGGGGCAGGTGACAGGGAGCAGAGGGCTGGGACCTTCAAGGGCTGGCAGGCTGGTTTCTGCAGGAAAGTTGTTCATCTCCAGGATGATCGGCAGCTCCAAATGGGGAGGAGGGGCTGCACTTCCAGGTGAGCTCCCAGGCCCCAGTGCGGCTGCCAGCCAGGCTAGAAGGTGCCTTCTCCAATCAGAATAAACTATCACGGTGAACAGAACAGGATGACCATGTCGTACAATTCTAGCCGGTTCCCCACGTTCTATTCCTGCCCCTATAGAAACTCGAACCTCTACATGTGAGAAGGCAGGAGAGGCTGGGTTGGACTCGGTGGTTGCAGCTTCTGTCTCAAACCTGCTGCCACTCTCACAAGCACACAGCTGCCTCCAAAAACCACAGATTTCACTCAAGTTCCTTCTGTACATATGCAAAAGCCCTGTTTTCCCAGCCCTTCAAAGTGGGAGAATTTCCATCATTTACACATGGAGCCTGGTTGGTGGGGCTCAGTGGTTGGCACATCAGTGCCCAAACAAAGGGTGCGAACTCTTTAGAACTAACTCACCCTGTCCAGGTGGCAGGTTTTTAATAATTGTGTGAACTTCCCACTCCACACAGAGAAAACAGGTGTATGAACATATGTTGTAAATGAGGAAAAGGCAATACTTTGGTATAAGAAATGTCCTAACATGTAGAGAATATTTTATAAGATTTTATTGGAGCCAAACTGATGACAACTGTGGGGGAGAAGACCTCCAATGGCCTGGAGAATAACCGTTTGCAGCTGCGTTTGTGCATTGAAGTTTAGGAGGG